GATCCGCAAGAAAATTTGAGCCTCTCAGGGGATCCGCGCTTCCAAAAAGGTTGGAAACCACTGTCTTATACAAATATAAATTTATACACACATATGATTAGCATTTGCATATAACTTGAAACATGTAATACCCAGCTTTTGTCAAATAGTGGGAAAATTTCCTCAATCTATATGAGATCATATAAACCTCTAAACTGTTTTATTTTATTTACAATGCTCTGAAAGAATTATAAAGTGATATAAAAATGGTTCTATAAACATAATAAAACATATGAGATACTTCTAATCATAAACCAACTATTACAACAATGTTATTTTTATACAAGGCATTAAACCTTAGTCAAAACTGTAAAAGTTACTGAAGCATCAATAAATATTTAGGTTCAACGTATTGTTTCAAGCAACCAAAATGTGTTTATCTCATATAATACAACACAGAACTTATAAACTTAAGGAGTAGTAAAATTGTTTCTCATGTGTGACTTACATAAAACACAAACATTTTATTTATTTAAATGCGTAGGCCCTAATAAAGTATGCTTGAAAGTTTCTCTGAACATGCTGATAAATGTTTAAGTCTGGAAAATGATAATAACAAATCTAATGGTTTAACAATTTTTTGGCAAATGTTAATTCAGAACCATAGTAGGATATATATATATAGTTATTTAAATATGTGACATATATACACCTTGTACAGAGATTGCACTTGCTCACAAACAGTTAACGTGTAAGAAGAAGGAAGAAGTTAAAGACACATAAAGAATTACTATGTAACAAGATATAGTTTAATATCTGCCACTGCATATCAATAAATTTATTAGCAAGCAATAATACTTAGTTGGTCTATTGCACCAAGCCTAAAATTATTTTCAAGTTAACCCTAGAATTACCCAAACTGTGTTTCAAACACTTTTTTAAACTATTTATGCACATGATTTTGTTGATTACAGGGTCCATAATAATATACCAGTCTCACAACAAAATGTAATAACAAATACCACCAATATTTTAATTAATCCAACTAGTTATTCTTGAGGTCTCCCATATATTTTGCACAAAAAATGAAGGATATCACTCAATTTTTTTTGGTCAGTTCTTTACATTGAGTATTCTGTCATGCAAAAACATAAAATTAGTCAATGTTGTGCAATACATGGTAGTAAATCGTATAAAACAAGTTGGTAATTTGAGGATTAAAAGGAAATGTTTGTTTGAAAAAGGCAGTTTTAATTAAAGGAAACTAAACATTTGTTACTATGTTATAGGTAAGACTGTTTAAACTTAATAGTTTTGTAGTTAATAAGTTCATGCTTTTAATAAAGAAGACATTCAAAATAATTTTCGTTATATTTTAAAATCACAAACTTATCATAAACTTCTGAATACTTTTTAGAAATGAAATATATTCTTAAAATCACTGATACCATTAATACTATTTTTACAACTACTCTGATGAAATATTTTTCATCATAAACATTAATAGTTGTCGCAATTTTCCCCTTTCTATAATTTTGTACAAGCTATGATATCTTAATCTACACATTGTCTTGTAATAATTCATTTAACTATTACCATTAAATACACTACTTATATTTATCAAATAAGCAAAAAAGTGATAAAAAGGTTTTTTTTAGAAATATATGGAAATTATTTTATAATGGTAAGATGAATGTGTGATTGGAAATGATCATGAAGTACACACGAAACTGTCACTCTAACTTTACCTTGGACTATTATACTGTTGTAGGCTCTGATTTCAATTTACTAACTTAGACATTAGTATTATTGTATAACTAGAGGGAGGTTTGACATAATGT